CGTTCGTGGGTTCGTGTTTGTGCTGGATGGAAACATGCTTCAAGGGTATGAACGTCTTTTCCCTCCTCTTTCTCTCTCTCTCTATTATGTGTTTATTGTTTTATTAATTATATGTATGTTTTAGTTTAGTCGCTTTAATTTATGCATGTGGTCCTCAGGCGAGTTTTGGTTTAGCGCGGTGTTCGCAGATTGTAAAACCCAACAGAGCGTGGTTTACAAGACTCGTTTCATGACCATGTAACTAGACATGTGGTTAGACTCATACAAGACTAGGGAAAGACCATAAACTGTCATTAAACTGTTTAATCGTAACAGTGGGACCAGCGATGGAACTGCAGCTTGATGATGATTCCATCGTGACACGACAAGATTGTCGCGCTATGATGGTGACCACGCCATGCGTCATAGATCAAAGTTGACGCGCCAATTTTGGGAGCATCACAGCGATCTGTCTTCGGTCATTCTTTCGAAGGTTTAAGCCTAAAAGTCTTCTAGGTTGAGCATATTCAGTCATTATGAGTAGATTTTAAGTAACCAAATTAATTAAGCAATGTCTTTTAGTCCTTGGATTAGTATATTCAAGGTATATGTACAAGAAACAAGTCAACACAAAGGGTTAGTTTAATCACAAACAAGGTATGCATAAGTAGCCAAGTAGTCACAACATGATGCAATGAGTTTGCCACCTAACCATGGCTCTAGTTCTCTAAGGTCAAGGATTATGGTGTCTAAGAGGGTCCATGGTTAAGAGTCAGAATGCATCGCACGGAAGCCTTACCTTAGAAGGGTTGGCGCGATGGACGTGACCTCGCAAGTTAAACTCAACTCCACGGTTTGGTGAATTCAACGAACTCTGATGCACCCAATATTGCACAAAGCGTTTTTAGGGTGGACGAAGTGTGAATTCCCAAGGGTTAAAACCATATGTAAAACACATATAGGTTCAAAAAGGTCGAAAAAACTTAATTAGGAAGTAAAATCATCGAGATAGTGCTAGAACCAATCGAAACAACGACGGAAGACTTGCGCAAAATCGCTAGGATTTGTTGCTAGCGGCAATATCCAACGTCCGGAGACAACCTTGTCGCGAAACGACTGGGCTGTCGTCCGACGTTGGTTATTGTCGCCATGCGACAGTTCAAACGCTCTGCGGCAGATTCAGCTTTCAATATTTTTTCCAATTTTTCACAGTGTTTTTTCGGTTTTAGTTGTGAAAAATATTTCTGGCCTTTCCTACGTGTATGTCCTATGTTTCAACGCATTACGGACGATTTTTCTGATGCAAACCTTTTTATGCTTATGCCACAATGTTAATCAAAATTACACACATGAATATCAAGAATCTTTCAAGTCTCACCCACTCATTCTAATTAATTGCAAAACGAATTAGGAATTAATTTAGAAATCCTCCCCAATGGAGTCTCCAAAAGCTGTAGGGAATTTTTCACTCCGCCCTACATGCGGGTCATGTTTTTAAGCATGGCGGCGCTCCAAGGAAAAGAAGATAGAGAAAAAGAGTCGCCAACAAGTTTTAGGAACTTGTAAATCGTTCACGATTGTGAAGGTTACACCCCATTCACAATCAAAGAGATTGTTAACTCCATAGTGGTCCGAACCACGACTGGATGTTCGCAGATGATAGTACAAATTTTACCTAAGAGAAATAAAACCTGCCCTAAATAGGCCTCTACTTGATTCTTTTGATATTCATGCACGCTTTTCGATCAACATACATACATCAAATTAATCCTAAACCTGTTTAATCTACGTGGGTTGATTATTAATGTATGTACAATCAACTCTAATATTGGTGATCACTTAAGTTGAATCATATTAACCTAAATAATCAAATTATTAATTATCTTATTAGGCATGATTGCAAATACAAATCCCCTTTAAACCTGTAAGAAAGGACATGATCAAGCAATAATAATAAATCATGAATAATCAAGCAACATATGATCAATACTGTAGGGTTTCGTAGTGACCCTCACTACGCGGAAAGAAACCCGCCAAGACCCGCCCCCATAACAAATGCAATTAACAAGCAAAACATAATTAAAACATAATTAAGGATAAAAGATTATACCTTTGACGCGTGCTTTGCTCTACTATGAGCTCTTACTTGAACCCCGAAAATATGAGGTCTCCAACGGGATCGTACCCTCGAACCCGACCCGAGCGTCCTAAGTCTCGAAGGTTAGTTGAGACCCGGACAAATAAAACTATGAGTTTTACGAATCAAGGTTTACTCAAATCAAGAGTTGCCTTTTAATTCCACACAAGGTTGTTCTTTCCCAATACCCATGCCTTTGGTATTTATAGGGAAATGGACCCTTGATCTTCATTTCCCAAGCAATGTGGGAGAATGAATAATTTAAATAATTAATTTAATTCCAAAATAAATTAATAATCAAATCAATCACAATGCAGCAAGTGTCAAGGGGAGAGAGAGAGTTAGGTGAGGACCATGAACCTTGGGGGGGACCATTGCCTTGCTCCCCAAGGCATGCTCCAAGCCTTTGGTCCTCACTCACCTAAAACCGCCTCAAGCAATGGGGTAAGCTGGCTGCTTGCTTTGCTGGCCAGCTAGCACAGCTAGCCCAGCAAGCACAACTAGCACTGCCAGCTAGCCCAGCCAGCCAGCATCCCCGCATCACCCCAGCAAGCATGTGCGTGCTGTGCTGGGCGATGCTCAAGCTGATGTTGCGTGCTATCGCTGGGCGCTGCTGCCCAGCCCCTCTACGCACACACTCGCATAGCAATCGCACTCATAGCCCCTCGCACTCCCAGTCGCACGTACATGCACAAGCCCTCTCGCATAGCCAGCACAGCCAGGCCAGCATATGCATAGCCCAGCCAGCGCACTCACGCACGCAAGGCCTAGCATGCGTGCTGCTAGCGAGCCACGCATGCTAGGCTTGGTGTTGGGCGATGGTGCACACGCACTAAGCGAGGCTAGTGCTGCTTGCTAGCTTGCTGTGCTTGGTGCTGCATTGCGAGGCTACTGGGCGATGTTGTGCGATGGTGCACACGCACACGCACACACGCATGTGCCTAGCAGTGCGATGGTGCTGTGCGTGGTGCTAGGGCTGCGATGGCGCCTAGGCATGATGCTAGGGCTGCGATGGCGCCTAGGCACTCATGCCTCGCCTAGCACACCATGGTGCGCCTAGCATAGACATGGTGCGCCTAAGCTTATGATGAGCTAGCCTAGCCTAGCTACGGCTACGCTCGTACTTGTCACTTGTGATTTTGCGACGCTCGGTCTCGACGCCCTAGGCTCGATATCCGACGTCTGTATTCGTAAAACTCCGTCGACTCATTGAATCCTTCGGATTAATTCGTCGTCTCGGATCGGTTGTTCGATTGGGTTCGACCCGAAGGGGTCGGTTAAGATTAAGCTATAATATTAATTATACCTTAATATTACTGATCGGAAGCGGCCTCCACCTAGGCATTCCGATCACTTGACCTTACTGAAGAATTAGCTCTGTAATAATTCTTAACCCTCTATCAGAATAATACACTTGTTGGAAGGACACCATTCCTTTCAAATACAACAATCATCATCATAAGAACATCATCAAAACATCGTTATTAGTAAGATCCTAGGCATGATACTAAAGAGGTTAATAACGATCCTAGCATGTCACTAATAGAAAAATCAACGCATTATCCTAAGCATGATACTAGAAATCAAAGTAACATCTTAAACATGATGCTAGAAATCAAAATAACATCCTAAGCATGATCTCTACTCGAAAATCAAAAGAATAATTAAGTATTAAATTACTTACTTTGATGTCTCGACCTTCTTGCTATTAAAACAATACAAAGTAAACTTCAAGAAAGCGAAATCAATAAAGTAAATAATAAACTAAATTAATTAAGAATTGAAATATAGATTTGGGACCAAACCCTTAAAACTATCAACCTTTCACGTCGAGGTCGAACGCAAATACCTTCTAGCAACGTCGAGTATGGTTAGGAGTATTCGAATCATGCAAAGGAAGTATTGAGTTTGTTTTGGCGTGTATCAAGGATTGTATTTAGGCTAAGGCTAAGAACATTAGAATTGAGAATTCCGGGTGTTATGAACTCTGGGTTATGAAGATTATGATGATTGTTGATGGTAATTGTTAATTATGTGTTGATGGTTGTTGATAAGGATTGTTGATGACTTTAGCTCAAGATTATCGTGGTTCAAGCTGATTTGAAAACGGGGAAAACAACCTCTATTTATAAGGAAAAAAGAGAGTCTAGACGATCAAAAAAGATCAAAAGTTCTAAACAAAATAGAACAACTTATGACTCGACGCGACAGGATTGTCGCGCTGCGCTGACTGCTGTCGCGCTGCGTTAGGACAGTCGCAGTGTGATGGTCCTGGCGATGCGCACTGGTTCTGAAAGATATAAAAGTCGTACGGAGTTTGATTTCTAATGGAATTACGTTTGCAGAAGATATTCGAACATCTTTGTATTCGAATAGAACAAGGATTATTTTATGAGAAGTTTTATTCAATCTCGAACTTCTTTGATCTTTATCTTTTCGAAAAGGATATATTAGAACCTTCTAGAATATTCTAGAAGTTCCTAAATGATTTAGGATTGGGAATATAATCATATAGGGTATAAATAAGATATTTGGACTCCACATAATCATTGGGTCGTAGCTAAGGTGGTCCCGGGCTGGGTTTGGACTCGATTTAGTATTTTGGCTATAACTTCTTTTATTAAGTCGGATTTGAGCTTATAATATATCGTTGGAAAGCTCTTTTCAAGCCCCATCCAACTAAACAATAATTGGACTGAGATTATGGACCAAAATAGTCTGGTTTGGACTTTTTTATGGTTTGGACACGAAATGAATGATTTTAAGGACACGAAATGAATGATTTTAAGGACACAAAATGAATGATTTCGAATTTAAAGACACGAAATGAATGATTTTGGATCAAAGACACGAAATGAATGATTTTGGATTAAAACATTTTAGGTAAGGTTAAAAATATAGTCAAGGCTACTCACTAAACAGAAAAGCTAACTACAAAACGACATTACATGAAACATTGAAGGCCTGTATACTTAAGCATAGGCTAAATCTGAAAGATGAACTAAACAAAAGCAGGCCAACAAGCTAACCCCATAGATTACACCAGTGAACTAATATATCCAAACCATGACTTAGTAGGCTTAGATCACTTAAAAGCAGTCACTAATTCTGGCAGGTAAATCATGGAACGCTTCGAGCTTCCTATCTTGAGAGTTGTTAGGCAACATGGACCCAGGTCAGCTCTACACTTGACTGGGTAAGCAGGAGGAGCACCATGAATAGGAATAGTGTTCTCTTTAGTTGTTGGAGTGACACACTGACTATTAACACCAAAGTTCGCAACTTCAGGATGTTTTGATTACCGTGCTAAACAATCAAGGTGTTCTTTTAAAACTAAATATTTTTCCCTCATGACAAAACACTCTCCACTTTTTTTTAACTTCAGCACCATAATTAGCATCAATGATCTCTAGATTGTATTGGTGGGATATGTAAAAGACTGCTTTCCTTGCCACTCTGCTGCATAACGGTTGGCTCAGGGCACGGCTCATTAAAAATACACTCCATTCCAATATTAGTGTGTGGAAAGGTCACCATCATCCAAGTAGTCATTCCTCTTTTTTTTTTGTACTATTTCAGCGCACTTGTGCTTAAACAGTTGCTCACACAACTGATACATTTTAACTCTGTCATAAGTGAAATCAGCAACCCGAATTTTAAACCTTAAAAACAGTCTCTGTACAGCATTCTGTGTTGCTCTCTCACGAGACTCTTCAGCTGAATCGGCTTCTCCACCATAGAACAGAAACCCAAAGCCACTATTTGGATGGTTCACTCGAACACAAGCATTGTTCTTTTCCATGTCAAGAAACCTATAAACTAGCTTCGGGAAATTTAGCCAAGCAACAGTCTTTTCTAAAATAGGCTGAAACGGAATTAAAACCTTACTTGGTGTTATAGCCATCACTTGTAACATGAATAACCATATTTAGGAAAATGTATATGTGCTATCTAAACGCTTTATCTCCTTTTCAATACCCATGAACAACCCAAAACATAGTAAATCAATTACCAAACATATTACCTGATAAAACACCCCACACACCAAAAAAATGGTACAATTCCAGTGATAAAACACCAAGATCTGTAAAGAAACCTAACACATACAACAAACAAAACCATGAGGTAAACAAACAGTTATATAATGTTAACATAGCAACATATCTAAGAATTATGCAAGTAGCAAGCACACATTATGTCACATAACCAATATAGGGTTCTAAGCAAATGATTAGGCCACAAATTAATACCCCCCTATAACCCCAAAGAATCATGCTTGACTTCCTAAGCAAGCAGTACTAAATTTTAGCTGCAGATGCAGAATAGAACACCATTAATAAAAGGGAAAACCCCAGCATATACCCAGTGTAAAACAAATACTTTTGCACAACAAATACATGTACAAACAAGATTTGAAGGCAAGTAGTTTAAAGATTATGAAAAATGAGCAATCTGATTTCATATGCATAGAAGAAGCCAGAGCAAGTTGCCATCAGAATTTTGAGCAGATGATGTTTAGAACGGTAACAATGCATTTATCCATGAAAAATTAATACATGCTACACAGACTGGGCATTTACTTTCTTTCAAAATAAAAAGTTGGAGACTTACGCAAGCAATCGTGGTTAAACAAATCCTTTAACAATCACAAACCCCATAACAGAATTTCAAGAACACAGGTAACCCATTCATGGCTCTGTCAGACCATATATATACACACGCAACAACCCATCAAATTCCTAACCCAAAGAACACCGACTCCACCCCAAAAAAAAAAAAAAAAAAAAAAATTTAAACAAATGAAGTACAAAATCTACAGTACCACAGTCCTGAGCTTCAAATGCTATATATCTATCATTCTTCCCCTAAACATAGGTATACCACTGCAGTTGGGGACCACCCAAGTAACCACAACAATCGTACTACTCCCTCTCCGTCTCTTTATTAGAAGCGTATTTCTAATATTTATTACTCAAAGAGAAATAGGCTTCTAAGACGGAGGGAGTATTGATTATCACTTTAACAACATCTCTAAACGTATTCAACAAGCTAATTAAGCAACTTGTAAACCCAATTAGGCAGAGCACTCTAATCTAATCTCAAAACAAATCAAGAGTTTTGATAGCAAGACGGCTTACCCACAACAATGGCAAACCGCGCGCCACAGTTCGTACAAGAACAATCCCATTAAAATGACGAGCTACCACCATCGCAACAAGCATCAACCTCCCAAACCAAGAATCCACACAAAACTCCTTTATTTTCATTTAACACAGCTAAATTTAGGGAGGTAGAGCTAGCTGAACACCTGGCTCCCACTAAGACAAATGGCATCTTCCTTTCTAACGCAGCACAAAAAAATCTCTTTGAAACAAATAAGGCCTATATCGGCAAATCATTAATGTTGGGGGCAAGAAGGTAATAGCACGTTGGTTACTGTTACTAAGCACAATAGCAAAGTTCTCATTTTTATTAAGGTTTTATTTATAGATGTGGTCAATTGGCCCTAGCGTATAGTGTCTAGAAATCGGGGTGTTACAACATGACCCAACCCATCAAGCCCCATGCCCAACTAGCAAACCACTCCTCAAGACCTCGAGTCCTCGACTATAGACAGACAGGGTTTTGGTCCACTTGACAAACTTGTGAGTTTATGTCTTTCACCATTTTTAAAGTTCCCTTGACTTTCTTTCCACAACTTGGCTGACTTCTCCTTCCATAATTTCCCGGTTCTCACTAGAGAGCTTCACAAGCAGCCCTTCAATTCATTCACAATTTCCATTATTATCACGATTATTGCTACTTCTACAAGTTTCCCATTTCATTCAAAATTACACTCAATTTCGGTTTGATCGCCCATCATTTACTTCCACTGAAATCGGAATTCCCCAATTAAGCATCTGATCTCCAATACAACAAGATCTTGGATGATAATCATAATTTCATCCATTAATTTTTGAGAAATTAGGGTTCTTGAAGAATTCTAGGGTTCTTCCTAATCCAAAATTCAGAATATTCCGATCTACGTCGATCAAATTGCTTAATGCTTAACCCTTTTCGATTCAGAATAAAGGGGCGAAATCTCCTCCAAAAGCGGTTCACTTCTTGTTGATAATTTTGGTTGAAATTAAGCATCCAACAATGGCGACTTTACCAGAATCAGCTCCCAAATCAGAGAAATTATTAGCTACACCACCAAGATTTCCTCCGACATTAATGGTGCAGCAACAGCATCAGCAGCAAATGGCAGGGACTGCGTCGTCTTCGTCTGCGACTTCGCCGCAATTAAGTACACCGCCCGGGCCGCCCGTGTTCACTTCGCCGCTGAGACCGGCTGCCGTGCCGTGCCGTTCCGAACATCCCCTGCTTCTCCGCAACCGGTTGCGGTTGCTTTCCCACCTCCAATTTCAACAACCCCATCTTTTCCTTCTTCTACTTTGCCCCCTTCTTCTCCTCCAAGTTATTCTTCTCAAAATGCTTCTTTTGATCATTCTTCTCTTTCTCCCTTTCAATCCATTGCTCCCCTTGTTCAATTTTCTGCTCACAAGGTAATTTCTTTCTTCCCTCTTTTTCTTTCTATTGTTCTTGATTGATTTCTGTTTTCTTGTATTGGTGCATTGTAATTGAATTGATATTTGTTTTGATCTGTTTGATTTGTTATGAAATTTTCAAGCTTTATTACAATTTTTCTCTGTTTTCAATTTTTTCGAGGTTTGGGTGCAAATTTGATCTGTCATTGTACTTATGATGGCCATTTATCTCGGTCCTCGAATGACTTTAACAAACTAATTAATACAAGTACAAGTTCTCTTTGTTTGAGTTTGTTTCGAGGTTTGGGTGCTGTCATTGTGCATATTTTAGCAGTCTATCTCGGGTCCTCAAATGACTTTAACAAACTAATCTAATTGACATCTATACTTTGTTCTTGATTGTTGTTCGAAGTATAGCATCGGGTTGTTTTCTTGATGTTAGTGTTGTCAATTTGGTTTATGGCAGATATTGAAGCAGAAAAAGCAAGCAAATTCCCAAGTTTGGGGTTTGGAGTAGTGGTTTCTCCTGGAAGAGAGGTTGCCCAAGGTCCTCAAGTAATTCAGCGTGATTCTCATCGTTGCCAAGGTTGTGGTGCTTATCCAAATCCATATTGTAATGTTATACCAACTTCAGGGCAGTGGCAATGTATTGTTTGTTGTAACTTGAATGGGAGTGACGGTGAATATGTAGCATCGAGCAAGGCAGAGCTGCGTAGCTTTCCTGAATTATCCTCTTTTGTGGTTGATTATGTCCAAACTGGAAACCGATTATCGGGTTTTGTTCCTGTTTCGGATTCGAGAACATCTGCTCCCCTTATCCTTGTCATTGATGAATGTTTAGATGAACCACACCTTCAGCATTTGCAAAGTTCTCTTCATGCTTTTGTTGACTCGCTCCCGCCAACAACTAGAATAGGTATTGTTTTGTATGGCCGAACAGTATCTGTATATGATTTTTCTGAGGATTCTACTGCATCTGCTGATGTGCTGTCAGGGGATAAGTCACCTAGTGAGGAAAGTTTAAGAGCACTAATTTATGGGACTGGTGTATACTTGTCTCCTGTGCATGCTTCGCTTCCTGTAGCACATACCATATTTTCCTCATTCAGGCCTTTCAAGGCCAACATTGCTGAGACTGCTAGAGACCGTTGCTTGTGTACTGCAGTGGAAGTTGCTCTGGCAATTATACAAGGGCCATCTGCTGATTTGTCCCGAGGAGTGGTGAAAAGGCCAGGGGGCAAGAGTAGGTTATTAGTTTGTGCTGGTGGACCTAATACATTCGGTCCTGGAGCACTTCCTCATTCATTTAGCCACCCAAACTATCCTTATCTTGAAAAAACTGCAATGAAGTGGATGGAACATTTGGGTCGGGAGGCTCATAGACATCATACTGTTGTAGATATTTTGTGTGCTGGAACGTGCCCTGTCAGAGTTCCAGTTCTGCAGCCGCTCTCAAGAGCCTCTGGTGGTGTTCTTATCCTTCATGACGACTTTGGGGAAGTATTTGGTGTAAATTTGCAAAGGGCGTATAGTAGGGCAGCAGGTTCCCATGGTTTGCTTGAGATACGTGTTCCCGACGATTTTCTTGTTACTCAAGTTGTTGGTCCTGGTGAGGAAGCTCACTTGGATTCACATGAAAATTTTAAAAATAATGCTTCTGTCTCAGTTCAGATGCTAAGTGTGGAAGAAACACAAAGCTTTTCAGTGTTCATGGAGACCAAAAGAGACATAAAAAACGAACATGTATTCTTTCAATTTTCTATACAATATTCAAATGCTTACGCAGCTGATATTACTAGAGTCATCACAATAAGATTGCCTACTGTTGATAGTGTGTCAGCCTATCTTGACAGTGTTCAGGATGACGTCGCTGCAGTTCTTATTGCTAAGAAGACTCTTTTGCGAGCTAAATCTGCTCCTGAGACAGTTAGCTTGCGTTCTACAATAGATGAAAGAGTGAAAGATATAGCTTTGAAGTTTGGTTCACAAGTTCCAAAATCTAAGCTCTATAAGTTCCCAAAAGAGCTTTCTTCGTTGCCAGAGCACTTGTTCCATCTTAGAAGAGGTCCGCTGCTGGGAAGCATCGTTGGTCATGAAGATGAGAGATCCGTATTGAGAAATCTATTTCTAGATGCATCTTTTGATCTTTCTTTGCGAATGGTTGCGCCTCGATGTTTAATGCATAGGGAAGGAGGCACCTTTGAGGAGCTGCCAGCTTATGATCTAGCCATGCAGTCAGATACTGCTGTTGTCCTAGATCATGGTACTGATATCTTCATTTGGTTGGTAAGTTTTTCACTTCCTTAACTGGTGCTTTCCTGTCTAACATGCATCATCTATGATACTGTAAGATAAACCCTTGAGAGGCATGCTTTGCATAATTTTAGCCCTTGTGTGTTTGCGCTGTATACTAGAGAATTTTGTTCGAGGAGTATGGCAAAAGTAATGAAAGCATTGTGTTGTTAGCTAAAGAATGCAAATGTGAAACTCGTATTATTTACTACCAAATAAACAGGTCATACGTATCAAAAATTATATCTATTTAGAATTCCTTTTTTATTGTAGGGTAGCTATTAATATTTTGCTGAGATTTATAAAATGACATAGTTGTATTTTGGTTGGCAAATAATTGATTTTCCTTGGTAATAGATGTATTATACACTTGTTTAGTTACAATAATATAGGGAGTTCTACTTCCCACAAAATGGAGGATTTTACTTACCCAGATCCTCTTCCCGGACAACCCCCAACCACAACCCAATGCACCCAATCCCCCATTGCAGTGGAATCTCTCATGGGAAGATTTTACTTAACTAGGTCCACCCCCCCCCCCCCCAAAAAAAAAAAAAAAAAAAAACCCCTATCTACCCACTCGCCCATGGCAGTGGAATCTCTCATGGGAAGTCAAAAGTAGCTATTATCTGAAAAAACTTTTATTTTGGATTGGGTACAACGAGAAATTTTTTGTATTCTTTTCCATTTGAGTTGGTCTTATTTTACTTTGTTTTCGAAGATGAGGGAGGAGTGGTGGGTATGTTTTGGGTTATATTAAATTTCCCTCGTGCAGTTCATTCATTTTTGTTGAATGTACCTGCTTGCTTATGACCTTTGAAGGCTGTAGCACAGGCCTCTCTCTCTTGGTGATGATGATTTTAGTTAGCTACTTTTGTTCATGTCCTGCTGAATGCTACTGCCTGCTTATATAATATATTATCCCCTCTCCCCCCTTCCCGGATAATTAATAATATACATAACACACATCCATGTCAAAAGCTTCCTAATCAATATTGTCCTGTTTAATTTTTATATCCAGGGTGCAGAGCTTTCTGCTCAAGAGATAAACTGTGCTGCAGCCTTAGCAGCTTGTAGATCACTGGCAGAGGAACTTAGTGAATCAAGGTTTCCAGCTCCACGCATCCTTGCATTCAAGGTTACACTTTCTCTTCCGTTTCTGATCTTCACTTCTTTTCAGTTTTTACTCTACTAGATCTCCCTCCCACCTATAGAGATGCGGTGAAATGCTGACCTATATTTATCCTCCACAGGAAGGAACTTCTCAAGCTCGTTATTTTGTTGCCCGACTAATACCTGCTCACAAGGATCCAGCTTATGAACAGGTAGGCACTCCCCTCATCATTCTGTCTATTTTTTAGGTTTTCTCACTCCCTTCTGTTGCCCTTATTCATTCAAAACTACTACTCATCAACAATATTCACTTCGTCCCAAAATTATAATATGCTAATTAAATAAGTTCATACCGAGTTACTTTCTATATCTAGCAAGTTAAAATTTGAACTTTTCCAACTTTACTCACCCTCCTGCAGTCATGAGGGTGAGCCGCTTTGAAAAAGACTTT